TCGAGACAGGCTATACAGAGCCGACTGAAGGAGCGGTGTTGACAAATGCACAGAGGAAAAGCCTAGATGATAAGAAGTTGAAAGACTTAAAGGTAAAAAATTACCTTTTCCAGTCAATTGACAAGTCTATTTTGAAGACTATCACTCAGAAGGAGACGTCCAAGCAGCTGTAGGATTCAATGAAGGTAAAATATCAAGGGAATGCTATAGTTAAGCGTGCTCAACTTCAAACCCTTCGTAGAGAGTTTGAGATCCTAGAGATGAAAACTGGAGAGTCGGTCACAAATTACTTTACAAGGGTGATGCTTGTGGCCAACGACATGAGAAATACTGGAGAAGATATGCCGGATGTAAAGATTGTTAAGAAAATCCTGCGCACTCTTACAGAAAAGTTCAACTACATTGTTTGTTCAATAGAGGAGTCAAAAGATATTGATAGGCTTTCCGTGGATGAATTGCAGAGCTCGTTGCTTGTTCATGAGCAGAAGTTTCGTAATAGTGATGAAGAAGAGCAAGCACTGAAGGTTACCTATGATGAAAGAGTTGGTGGTAGAGGAAGAGGACATGGATCTTTCAGAGGCAGAGGAAGAGGTCATGGGAGGCAGGGCTTTAACAAAACAGGGGTTGAGTGCTACAAATGTCACAAGATAGGGCATTTTCAATATGAATGCCACTGATGTATTTTACACTCCTGGCCTCACAAATAATCTTCTAAGTGTTGGCCAACTACAAGAGAAGGGGCTGGCTATTCTAATCCAGGATGGAGCGTGCAAGATCTATCACCCCAAGAAAGGTCTTATAATTCATACTCAGATGACAACAAATAGGATGTTCGTATTACTTACTTCCGTAAAACCACAAACACCAAACTACCTCTAAATCACCACTAAAGACACCACTGATCAATGGCATTGAAGATATGGCCATCTGAACAACAAAGCATGAGAACCTTGCAATATAAACAACTTGTAAAAGGGCTACCACAACTAAAAGCTACAAATAAAGTGTGTACTATATGCAGTATTGGAAAGCAATATCGTACGGCTATGCCAAAGAAAAGTCAATGGAGAGCCTCACAAAGGCTGCAATTGATACATGCTAATATTTGCGGTCCCATCACACCGATGTCAAACAGCGACAAGATGTATATCTTGAGCTTTATGGATGATTATAGTAGGAAGAACTGGGTTTAGTATCTGACTGAAAAGACTGAAGCATTTACATCATTTAAGAATTTTAAAAGTCTTGTTGAGAAGGAGGTAGGAAGTAGAATCCGTTGCTTAAGAACTAATCGAAGCGGTGAATTCACTTCGTATGAGTTTAACAGTTTTTGTAAGGCTCGTGGCATTAAGAGGCAACTTACAGTAACGTACACCCCTCAATAGAACGGGGTTGCAGAACGTAGGAATCGAACTATCATGAATATGGTTCGATGTTTACTTACAGAGAAGAAAATACCCAAAGTATTATGGCCAGAAGCAGTTCGGTGGACAGTACACGTATTAAACAGGAGCCCTACTATGGTGGTGAAAGATAAGACCCCAGAAGATGGTTGGAGTGGAATCAAGCCAACTGTTGATTATTTTCGAGTTTTTGGTTGCATCGGTCATGTTCACATACTAGATAATAAGATATCAAAGCTGGATGACAAGAGTTATAAATGTGTACTTCTCAGATACAGTGACGAGTCTAAAGCGTATAGGCTCTTTGATCCCATTGCCAAGAAAATTGTAACCAGCAGAGACGTGGTTTTTGAAGAAAATGAGAGTTGGAACTGGGGGAGGAGTGACGAAGAGGTGAAGCTTGATGTACTTGATTGGGGAGATGGTGAATATGAAGAAGGTGAGCATGAGTTCGGTGGCCTTGATGAGAACGAAGAAGGTACAGAAGAAGAGGGTAACCAAGATGATCCACCCGCTCAAACCGACTTGAATGAAGGTAGCGAACAAGGTTCTTCTGAAGATAATCCTTGTTCATCTGAAGATAACTCTTTAAGTTCACATGGAGAAAGAGTTAGAAGAGTTCCAGTGTGGATGCAAGATTATATAAGCGGGGAAAATCTGTCTGAAGAAGAAAATTTGCAGAACCTCGCTTTATTCATTTCACAAGAAGATCCAACATACTATGAAGAGGCTGCGAAGAGTGAGAAGTGGAGGAATGCGATGGATTTGGATGAGAACGAAGAAGTTACAGAAGAAGAGGATAACCAAGATGATCCACCCGCTCAAACCGACTTGAATGAAGGCAACGAACAAGGTTCTTCTGAAGATAATCCTAGTTCATCTGAAGATAACTCTTTGAGTTCACATGGAGAAAGACTTAGAAGAGTTCCCGTGTCGATACAAGATTATGTAAGCGGGGAAAATCTGTCTGAAGAAGAAAATTTGCAGAACCTTGCTTTATTTATTTCACAAGAGGATCCAACAAGCTATGAAGAGGCTGCAAAGAGTGAGAAGTGGAGGAATGCGATGGATTTGGAGATAAAAGCCATTGTGAAAAATGAAACCTAGGAGTTGGTGGATCTGCCGATTGGAGCAAAGAAGATTGGTGTTAAGTGGGTGTATAAAACCAAGCTAAACGAGAATGGGGAGATCGATAAGTGCAAATTTCGCTTGGTAGGAAAAGGATATGCTCAGAAACATGGGATAGACTATAACGAGGTGTTTGCTCCAGTGGCACGGTGGGATACAATTCGAATGGTCTTGGCCTTGTTGCTCAAAAGGGTTGGTTGGTATTTCAACTTGATGTTAAAAGTGCCTTTTTGCATGGGGAACTAAAGAAAGCTGTGTTCATTGAACAACCGCAAGGTTATGAGCAAAAAAATAAAGAAGAGAACGTTTACAAACTCAAGAAGGCTTTATATGGGCTAAAGTAGGCTCCAAGGGCCTGGTACAGTAAGATTGAGGGTTATTTTCTTCAAGAAGGTTTCGAAAGATGCAGTCATGAGCCCACTTTCTTTGTCAAAACAGAAGCTGGAGGAAAGATCTTAATTGTAAGTCTTTATGTTGATGACTTAATCTTTACTGGTAATGATGCCTATTTGATTGAGAAGTTTAAATGTTTCAATGAAGTCTGAGTTTGAGATGATAGACCTAGGAAATATGAAATATTTCCTAGGTATTGAAGTCAAGCAAAGTTCGAAGGGTATTCATTTGTGTCAGAAGAAATATGCCAGAGAAATTCTTGATAGATTTGGTATGAGAGATTGCAATGCAGTACAGAATCCTATGGTACCAGGTTCGAAACTGACAAGAGAAAGTGAAGGGAAGAAGGTCAATGCAACTCAGTTCAAACAGCTGATTGGTAGTCTTATGTATTTGACGGCTACCAGACCTGACTTGATGTATAGTGTGTGTCTTGTTAGCAGATATATGGCTAGCCCAGCTGAAGAACACTTGCTTGCTGCTAAAAGGGTGCTTCGATATCTAAACGGAACTTTGGAGCTTGGGGTGTTCTATGAAAAAAAAGGTGCAATGGAGCTGATTGCATATACGGATAGCGATTATGCCGGTGACTATGAGGATAGGAAAAGCACATCAGGCTATATGTTCATGCTGAGTGGAGGAGCTGTGGCTTGGTCTTCGAAGAAGCAGCCGGTTGTAACACTCTCTACAACAGAGGCAGAATATGTTGCTGCAGCGGCTTGTGCCTGTCAGAGTATTTGGATGAAGAGAGTGCTCAATCAATTCAATCATTTTCAAAGTAAGTGTATTACTATGTTTTGTGATAACTCATCTACTATTAAGTTGTCAAAAAACCCAGTTTTACATGGAAGAAGCAAGCATATAGATGTGAGGTTTCACTTTCTACGTGCTCTCACAAAGGATGGTGTTGTTGAATTGAAATATTGTGGTACGAGTGAGCAGCTTGCAGATATTATGACCAAACCTTTAAATTTGGAGAGCTTTGTGAAACTTTGAGAGATGCTGTGAATGAGGCTATTGAATGAAGTAAACTGATTGATATTGTCAATTCCAGTTTAGGGGAGGAAATGTTAGAGTTTGTGAAGTCAGTTTTAATAACTCCTATTGTTCAAGAGCTCATTTTGTTTTCTGTTAGTATTTTACTATTTCTAGCCAATTACCACGATCTTAAGTCTGGTAAATCACGTGGCTATTGTTATGCTTCTTCTGTTTTGTAATGGCTTTATAAGCCAAGTTCCCTTCTGTTATTTTTTCATAATCATGCTTCAGAAAGCTATTTTGCTGTGAGTCTAGTTATCTTTACATCATCAACCCCATGTCTTCAAGCGGCTCCACTTTGACGTTGCCTTGTCAATGATGGTGAACCCCTAGAGTATGGTCGTACAGTCTCCTTCCTGTATTAAACACCTACCGTTATCCCCTCTCCGTTTCTTCCATTACTTGCTGACTAAAATCTGTTTTAAAGCACTAGTAATGTGATAAATATGTGTGGAAATAATTTAATAAGAGCACTAGAGAATACCTAGCCAAACCTGAGCCCTGGTGAAGAAGATGGTTCTGGTTGTTTTTCGGGCATGAATTCATTGTCGAATCCTGTAAAATCTTCAATGGTTTTAGCTGTTTTCCAGGCATGGATTCATGGACAAATCCTGTTAAACTCCTGGATGAACTTGTTGGGAAAAATCGTCTTGAACGCAGGAATTGAGATTAATGACCAATTGAAATAACAAAGATCACAAGAAAAAAGACAAGATTAAAGTAAAGAAGAAAGAAGAAAATTGCAGATATTAATAATAGTGGAGAGCAAAATACAAGAATTCAGCAATATATATGCTTCTCTGGTCGCTAAAACTGAATGAATAGTCTACTATAGGGAAGATGTCCAAACCCAATATGGAAACAAAATAAAAAACAAATCACGTGAGATAAAAGAAAAAATATTTTCTTAATATTTTTCTAATAAAACACGTGAAATAATGTAATAATGGAAATAATATTTTTCCAAATACGTGCAAAGAAGGAAAAATATATGCCCAAAGATTCCAACCTAATTTGGGTTTTTCACATATGGTAACCCTAATTTGGATCACCAATTCCAACAGAACCTTGTTGTTTTCCAGGCATGAATTCAGCTGTTAAAATCCTGGATGGATTTGCTTGTTTTCCAGGCTTGGATTCGTCGTAAAATCCTGTTAAAATCCTCGACGAATTTCTGGGCTTGAGTAGAACAAGATTTTCATTCTTCTTATCTCTCTGTGTTTTATGGTGTTAGTAATATCAACACCAACTTTTCTGCTGACATTTTCTTTATTTTGTTTCACTATCTGCCTTGATATTGGCTTGGATTTCTATTTTCATCCCCTTTTTGAATTCTCTCCTTGTACCCATTTTCCGAAATTCAATTTCTTCACTGAAATTCTTTTTTTTTTTTTATTTGAAGGGATAGCCTGTGGTCAACATTTGACCTTCTGGCTAATGAAATTCTTGGTGTCTCCTACAGGGAGCAAGTACCAGCAATGTCGTTTATTAATAATTAATTAAATAATATTAAAATCACAAGTCCACATATACCAAATATTCTCAAATTCAATTTTATAAATGATATATTTTCATTTATTACAAATCACAAGTTCACATATTCTCGAATTTACAAAATTCCCAATTTTCATAAATCATAATTAGGCAGGCTCACAATCATAAATTGTAAATCGTAAATTCTAAAAAAGAATGAACAAAAAGAACAAAAAAAAAAGGCTCATATAGTGGCAGCAAGCAATATCGGAGCGAAGCGAAGACCGGAGAGGCTCAACGTCGAAGGTAGGTGACCACGGGTTGAGTAGCTAGAGGGAAAGAATCAAATAAGGCTTGTAGTTTGGAAATTCTTGATTCTATTTTGAAATTGTGTGAATTACCATATGAATTATGAAAACAATACGTTTCACACTAGCCTCACTGAATTGAGCCTAATTTATTCTCTTTTTAGAGGCCCAAATTGAAAAAAAAATGGCCCAGGTCCAATATATTGCCATCTTCCCCAAAACACTTAATCAAATCCTTGCGGTTGCCGTGCTTCAAGCTTCTTCTCCTCTGTTAGTGACTGTAAATTCTGACGGAGCCAGCATGGGCGGTTGTGCCCTCTCATTAGGTGCGGCTCTACCACTGGATCTAGAGTTTGTAACAGTTTGAAGACTCATGGTAAATAGAATTCAATATAAACTGATAAATTAATGAAGTTTTTCTAATTGAAATATCACATTCCTAGATTGTTGGGTATTTACTTAAACAATCATAGCAAAAATTAAACAAATTTCAATACTTAAAAGTTTTTGTGTTGAGATATAATCCGTACTAGAATATATACATTTGACAATTTTCATAAGTTGAGAGAATTCTATCATGATCTTACCATACAACTGTTATTCAGATGTGAGACTTCAACAAAAATTCACACGACGAGAACAAATTGAAATTCCAACACCAAGCATGGTTCATGACTGTTAGTTGGATTTAGAGAGATTTGGATTTAGGTTTTTCACATATTTCTCATGTTCTAGCAAGATTATTAATAAGTCTATTAAATTATAAACTTGGACTATATTTTAATAGAAAAATGTGTTTTTGAATAGTAATTGATGGAAGAATGTGTGGTTAAAAAGTAAGGAAAATTTTTAGTTTTATGTGTAATATTATTTTATTGATAGAATGTGTGGTTGAAATGAAGAATGAGAAAAAAATGGATGCCAAACGGGGGCTAAATGCACCAAATTAATTGTTAGGCGTTAAGTTTAAAAATGCAAAAGTCAGGTATTAATTCCGTTTTAATTTTAAATAATAGTATTATAAAATTAAATTAATCTACCCACAACCACCCCACCCCATCCCATCACATCTCATCCCATCCCACCAAACAACCGGTGCCCATTCACCAGCCTCCATCCCTTCTTCCAGTCGTCTGCATCCACCCCGCCAACGACTTCTTTATCGGGGAACTGATTACCGCTCAACTATGAAAAAACATCGCCCACTCAGATAGTAGAGATAGAGTGAGAAACATTGCGATCATTGGAGAACATCAACTGAGCATTGTCGACGACTAATCATCTTCTTCATCCGGGACTCAGCAATGCTGGTATAATTTAATATGATTTTTCTAAAATTAAAATTTGAAAAATAACCCATAGTGTAATTTATAGAGTATTTACCGGAGCAAATACTTCAATTCTCACGGTCAAAATTTGGTTAATTGAATTCGTGATAATTTTAGATAACTGAGGTCGTAGAAATCAATGGCATGTAACCAGAACTCTTGAATTCGTAACGTGCAACCTATGCGCTTTAACATATGACCTGTAACCAATCCAATGGTATATGAACAAATCTCTTAGATTTTTGACATATGACATGAGCTATGGTCCGTAACCAAATCTCTTGAACCCGTGACTTATGACTTATGCACTTGACATGTGATATATGACCTGATTCAATGGCTTGTGACCAAATCTTGTAAATTCGTGACTTGTAAACTATGCACTTTGACATGTGCCCTATTATATGTGACCGTGACCTGATCTTATGGTAGGCGACCAAATCTCTGGATCGGTGACCTGATCCAATGGCCGTGACCGAATCTCTTGAATATGAAACATGTAAGTGTGTAACCTATGCACTTTGACATGTCACATATTCAAGAGATTTGGTAACAGAAACTCAATGAAATGGGAATGCAAAAAGCCCCATGCCCACTACTTCATCTACAGTTGAAACTCAATCGATTGGCCACACCACCACCATTACCACCATCCCATTAACTTTCCCTGTTGCTGAAACTCAAACGACTGAGAAGTCAACCAACCTTACCACCAACACAATCTCCACAACTCTACCTACTACTGAAACTTAAGTAGATGGGTAGGCAACCAAACCTACCACCAATACCATCCCACAACTCCACCTACTGCTGAAACTCAAGCAATTGGGAAAATCACCACCTCCTCATCCACCACTAACACCCTCACCATTCCACTTACAGATGAAACCCAAACTTGAACATCTAGCCATCCAAACACAAACACAATCCCTGCCACTACAGTTCCACCTTCAAGTGAAATCCAAGTGGCTAACCAGCCTAGTGCCACCTCAATTGGCCCTAAAAGCACGAGCGCCACCTATAGCAGCTCTACAATTCGAACAACTCATTAGAGCTTAGTCACCATCGGCAGCAACGATCTGTTTACTGCTATAGAGTGCCGAACAACAACGATGCTTATTAACCTCCTCGACGTGCTGTCGACACTACCTCTACTCGCGGCCTGTGGGAGTATAGGTTGGCAAAGAGAAAAGGCGTCGGAGAGTATCGAGGTCGGAGTATAAAGAGATAGGAGAAGAGAGAGAATGGATGGGAAGAAATGATTTGGGGATTGAAATTGAATGCACTAGGGATGGGGGTTGGAGTTTTATTATTTCATATTAAAAAATTGATTTATAATCTGAATTGTGAATAACTAAACATCATTCCTGATTTTTGCACAATGATCTTTAAAATCAGGTTGTGGTATAAATTCCACTATTGTAAATCCCTATTCTATTAGAATTAGTAAGCCCATTTTCTTCCTTTTCCTTGATTTTTTGTGTTCATTATTTTGTTTCACGTAGCTAAATTTTTTAGCTTCTTGAAGATTTCTTATTTGGATTCTCTCTCTTGTAAAAATGTTGTTGAGTAATAGTGTGTTACGTATACTTATCAACATGATCTACTTGAAAATGTTTATTGAATGTGGATTCAAAAAAATTTATAGATGGAACAAAACTTGAACTCGAACCCGAATTGACGTTTTTGGTTTGAATTTGGTTTCAATAATTACATGGAATTGAATGATTTCGTTTACGAAATACTTGAAGTATAATGGCGATTTCGTGTATTGAAATATCGGAATTGACCCACTCGACATACAACCTACTCTTGTGTGATTTTGCTTTTGATTCTTGCATCAATTTGGTCTCTTGTTCTGCAATCATGAAATAATCATGCTTCAAGAGTAATATTGCTATACTTATTTGATTAATTTTGGTTGAATTGAAACAGGGATATAATCTATTTAGTGGATCTTAAGAACAAGTCTCCCGTCTGGCCTTCATTAAAATTGTAATTCATTTTTTCTCTTCTTATCAATTACATTCTCAAATAAAATAATATTACATGTAATTCCAAAACTTTTTTTTTTCTTTCTCAACCACAAATTTTTCAAAAATGCTATTCCAACCATTATAATTATAAATAATGAGGGCCAAATAGAAGCTAAAATTTTAAAATTTACCAAATCTTGAATTTTTTTTTCCAACGCTTGCTTATTTGGCAAAATCAAAGACAACTTATTATACAACTAAAAGAAGTCCCATTTTTATAATTAGTCACTAATAATTTAAAAATATCTATAAAAATTTAAAATTTTGATTTAATATGGATAGAGAAATTATAAGATTAAACTTTAATATGCTTTAATATTTGTCTTGGATCATTTAATTTTTGAGATCTACTATGTATTTATTCACCAATTAATTGATATGACATTTCAATGATTATTTCCATAAAATTAAAAAGTCTATTGAGTAGTGACTTGGAAAACGTGTCGGCCCATGACCTTATCGTCACAGTGATCACTAATCTATAGGGTATAAACTCCTAATCTGTGATAAAATAGTAACTTTCACACACACACACATTATAATCACACCAAAATTCAAATATGTTTTCAATAAATACATTTAAAAAAATTTACAATTACAGTTCTAATTCAATAAAAATTAAAAAGGATAATTATATTGCAGCCACAAACATTATTTCTTACACCACTTTTTATGCACACCCTAAGGCCAAATTAAAATATACTTTCCATATACACGTCAAAATAATTTTATATTTGTATCCCTAATTCAATAAAAAAAAATATGGTGTACATTTTCCTTCCTCGCACAATTTCTTAAACACACCTTTCCACTTCTGAACAGAATTCAGATTTAGAGAAAACCATCGTCTGAACAATTGCCAAAGTCAAGCCCAATTATAGCTATTGATAATAAGGTCTTCAATAAGAGGCAATTAGCACATGACTACAAAACATTAATCTTCTTCCCACCGTTCGCATCAGATGCACAAAATTAAGAAGATAGTTATGAAAGTTTAAGCCAAAACTATGGTGAAAAATGGAAGCAAATTTGAGCAAATAGATTGTTTTGGTGTGTTTATGAAAAGTATACTCGGAACCATACTCTCAGCCTTTTTATGTCATTTTACTAGTGGTTATTTAAGTAAATAAGAGAATTGAGGTGGTTTAATAACCACCCATATTTTTATTTATTAAACAATGCAACATCTGCTCTACTACCACATACACTAATGAATAATGAATAGCATTATTCAATTTTAATGTATAATCAGATGTTTAAAACAGTTAACCAAGAGACTCGATGGATATATAGTTGAATCTTACATAAGATTCATGTGATGAAGTATCAAAAGTAATACCTTCCTCGCGTATGTATAAAATCGAATCCATTCGATTTTTTTTAAAAAAGATTATTAATCCTTAACTTTTCAAAGAATCATTAATCAGTGGTTGTGAACGACTTCTTTTTTCAATCTTTTCGACTTTGGTTCTGTAAGAACATGTCAAAAAGATTGTACAATTTGATACAAAATACATATAGAAGTCGGCATTCAGTACCTAGTTAATAACATATGATACATTGATTTAGAGGTGTAAAATATACCAGATCGAGCATAATTCCATCCAATAAAAAGACCTGACCTACACAAACAGGGTATTACTTTATTGCAATATATGTTTGGTTTATTTCCACTATGATAAACATAAACTAAATAAATCATCATAATCCCAAGTCCACTTGAAGTTATTAATTAAAAACTTGAGATTTCTCATGGTACTCTTAATCCCAATGAAATGCCGATCAATCAAGTATTAAATAGCATAAACAAGAGACGAAAAACCTGACAAGAAAAACATAGATTCAGAGTTTTTAAGTGAAAACCTTGGAGTTGCTCGACGAGTACAACAACTAATGGGAAAAGAAGGACACTATTTTGATTGTGATTCACCAGAGGTAATTGCAGGCTCGTCCTTCTTTGAAACAGCATCCTCTAAAGTGCCAGTGTTAACAGCCTCCAATGTCTTATAGAACTCCTCAGGAAGAGGACCAGGTCGATGCAGGGGGACATGCTTAGGCACTGGAGCATCATTCTCAATAACTTCACATTCATAGTCGTCTGGAACACCCCATGGGTTCCACTCTGCACCCAATTTAAAGAAATTCACTATCAAAACTTGACGAGTAATATTATTTATTCTACATTAGGTGGCTGCAGCAGTTAAAAGATGATGAATGCCAGACGACTTCAGTAGAGTCTCTCAAGTCGTCTTAAGACAGACAGACTAAGAAAAATATCATCAGGTTTCAGTTAACAATTCTTTTCATAACATGTTGGAACGTTAGTACACTTAGGCATCTTTCTTCACAAGGTTTTGCAGAATTCAATCTCTTTACAAAAATTTGAAGAAGAGAGATGCACACAAACAACAAAGCCTTAATCCAACAACCTAACAAGAAGATAGACTAAAAGCAAAATTGGAGTAACAAAAAGTAACAGAGCTACATTTACCCATGTAAGGATTGTTCGGATAACTACACAACTTGATGGAACATTTTATGTAATTGTTCGAGAGTTTGGGACAGTTAAAATACCTGGTCCAGAACAAGTTAATTCAAAAAGTTTTTGTTTCAGCATAAACCTGGAATAAGGATGCTGAAGGGGAGCCAAATGGCTTGAATATAACAATAACTCCTTGACAAAATTTTAACCCTTAAGAACTTATAAGAGAAATAGAGCACCAAAGGAAGAGCAGATAGTAAACAAAATGAAAGAGAGCAATGAGCAACTATTAATAAATTCTTCTCTATAAAATCTTCCTCTGAGAGTACTCTCAAATAAGGAAGCTTGATGGTTCCCTACATAAAGAAGCATGCCAAAACCCAGAACTAGATATATTTTAACTCACAAGACATGACTACATTAAACCCCAATTTTTTTTTATAGTTTATACAGGCCAATTGAGCTGAGATTAGGCGACTAGCATCCATAATAAGTTTGAAGGCCTATTACTTCCACCAACAAATAGTATCAGCTCTCAACAAACTTCTTTTCATTCAAAGCCAAGTTTCCATTAGCTGTTGGACTCCAGCAAATGCTCACAATTTTTGCAGGCATATTCTAAAACTGCTACCCTTGTAAAAGAGAAGGCAATTTCTACCTTTTCCACTCCTAGTGAATGATAATCTTAAAAACTAATATCGTTTTTCAATTGAAATAAATCCAGATTTCCAGCTGAAGAAAAATCAATTCAAATTTGAGTATGATTCTTTCCAAAGTAGAACTGCAAAGCCCTAATTCTATGAGAACAAACAAAAACACGGGATGTATAATTTGCTTCACACACCACTCCTGCCCCCATAAAAACATTGGAGATTGTCAACTCATTTAAAGGGGCAAAAAAAAGTTCACCTTACACCATTTTTCTCTGTTACCCCAGGCTCCAAATAAGTTTGACCTCACTGCATGATAACTCTAAAGACACGATGAAAAGATTTGTTCAACATCAATTGTTCCTGGTTCTGAAAGTTGTTAATCGAGTTGATATTAGCATTCAGCATTAAGCATGAATGACTACTCACCAAGACTACATTTCAGTCTTCACAACCTCGTTCAACAGAGGATGTAGGTTCAAAATTGTAAATTAGTATCAGCAGGAAAGCTCCCAGGAGCAGCTTTTCTCCCTCGCAATAGATATAAGAAACATTCGTAACTAAACTCTTAGGATCCTTATGGATCCAATGAACAACGGAAATCCTGGAAAAATATTTCTTCGTGTTTGATTCAAAGGAAACGACAAACCAATGAGTGCAAAAACAAAATCAAGGGAAGTCTTTCACAAGTCAAATGTTATTTTTCTTCAGTTCTTCAGGCAACTATGAACGATAACAGTTTTTCAAACTTAATTTCGAGTATTTTGGTAGGGAGAAGACAAGCAGAATCAAGTTTTACACCGTCACCTATTTTCCTTTTCCTCTGAAATCTTGGATCCAAATAAAGACTCAGCAACCTTTGTACTGAAGTTTTCAAACAAAGTTAGAAGTAGACAGAGCTTGTAACTCTGGATCACCTATCTCAAAACCAACAAAATGTGGATGCTTTGATGCGGATCATCAAATTTCTTGTTTTCTAAAAACAATAAAGGGAAATATGTTAGTTTTCTAAGAATTCCAATTCGTGGAAAACCAATTCGTATTCACTGGATTTTTCCCAGTCACAATTCTAGGACCTTAAATTCAACAATACAGACACGGACCAGGCTCATAGCTAGATTGTTTGCCTCACATTTCGCTCCATACTTGATAAAATTATAAAATAACACAAATAATTGTCACTCAATATAACCAAATAGAAAATAAAGATAAAAAACCAACAGGAAAAAAAAGGCATTTCTTTCTAACTGATGTCAATTAGGTTTCAAATGTCTGCAGACCTATCATGTGACCGATTAGCTTGAGCTCATCCTGGGCTTCTTCAATCAGCTCCTCGACCTGGCCGCATCCTAAGCGTTTCTCGATGGTCTCCCAGTCTTCTTCCTCCTGGCAGACCTTTAAGCGCTGGCGCGTGAAGCTCTCAACGGCTTTACGGTAGCCTTCATCCTCGGGCACGGCCTTGATCTCTGTTAAGGTTTTGTTGTAAAGGCCGATGAGCACCTCGCGGGCGTTGGGCACCACATCGAGACCGACTATCCCCGTCGTCTCCTTCACTTTCGCCATCATCATTAGCGGCCGCGCCACCCTTCTTAGAAACATTTTTCCGCCGGAAATCGGATTCCTCGCTCTCGACTCGGTTGGTTAACTCGCAGACTTCTGAGCGTGACGTATATTTACAAAAAAAAAATTGTAAAAAATGTCCACTTTCACGTGATCAATTGCAAAAATGTCCCAATTTTATTTCACGTCGATTTTTTTATAATTTAGACCAAAATACTATTTTTAACAATTTCAAATTCCAGATTAAAGACAAGTTTTTTCATATAGTCCATGTTTTAGTCATATTAAAATTTTCATTATCATTCTTTTACTCATTTTCAACTACACATTCTTTAATAAAATAATATTTTTCATTAAATCAATAATTTTTCCTTTTTTTTCAACAACTCATTCTCCATCAATCTACTATTTTAAGATGTATTCTTTCAAAATAATGTGACTCAAACATATCCATAATTAAAAATTATGTTGACAAATAAAAGTTTGATCTATAACCTATAGTCATATACTAATTATTTGAAAAGGGTAAATAACGGATAACGTTCTTACTTTTCAATGTCATTGTACAAAACGTCCCTACTTTTCATTTTTTGATATTTTTACCCATACCTTCCACCTTTCATTGCGAAAAGGTCATTTTCAACTATTTTTCCAATAAAGTGATAACTTTACCCTTCTATTCAAATGAAAAAAAAAAAAAAAACAACTAATTGCAATATAGTCCTAAATTTTTCAAAATATTACAAATAAGTTCTAAATTCTCCACTACCACCACTTTCACAATCCCACCAAGCCGCCACCTGCAGATCCACATAGTACCACCTTCTGGACACCACGCCCGCCGGACTCCACCACCACTAGCCTCGCTTCACTCTCTCCCACAGTATTGATCACAAAATCTGTCGAAAACGGTCACATTTGCAGCCTAAAATATTAAACTGTCGTATACAACCCTTCACGGAAACCCCACTTTCGACGCCACCCACGGTCGCGCACCACCACCGACGGTTACCCCTCATCACGATGAATCTATAAATGGCCTCACATCAATCGAACATGCCTCAAATCATTCTAATGTAATTTAGACATTCGATAGTAGCGACGTCCATTTTGCCAAACTCTTCTCCTTCAATTCATGCATCCCACAACACTAAATCCCTAAAGTGGCATCATTCGAACAATCAACAAACCTAAACGACAATGGGTATGAATCTAATTAAATCAATTCTCCTCCAACCGTTTCAATTTCTGGTCTAAAACTCTACACGAGCGCGATGCATGGAGAGAGCTATCTGACCAAAATTGGTGGGTCCTAAGTGCTCCAATCTTCAAATTCATGTGGGGGAGTGGAGCGAGGTTGGCGGTGGTGGAGTCCGGTGAACGTGGTCGTCGAAAGGTGGCGCTATGTGGATCTATGGTGGCAGCTTGGTACGTTNTCCGAGCAATGATCATTAGAAGGCCATTGGAAGAGTTCTTGGCTATTTAAAGAAAACCAAGAATTTAGGTCTACAATATACTAAATTCCCGACTGTATTGGAAGGGTTTACGGATGCTAGTTGGATATCTAGCACGGGTGAAAGTAAATCCACTTCAAGTTGAGTGTTTACACTTGGTGGTGCGGCTGTTTCTGGGAAATAAAAGAAACAAACATGTATAACACACTCAACTATGGAATCTAAATTTGTTGCACTATCAGAAACGGGGAAAGAGGTTGAGTGGCTTAAGGATCTCTTATACGAGCTCCCTTTGGGACCGAAGATAATATCTTCTATACCTATCATGTGTGATAGTCAAGCCACGTTAGCAAAAGCATACAATGAAGTATACAATGGAAAGTCTAGACATATGAGTCTAA